TAAGCAGTTCTGGTTTACATATAATCCCAATGTAAAGAGAAGATTTTTTACTACTTTCCAAGTAGTTCTTGGCTTTTATATGTTAAGCATTGTCATTTGGGAAACTGCTACCACATGCACTGGTTTTGCCCTGGGGTATATGTGAGAATATAGCAGAAAGGGGAAGAGAATGAATACATGTGAATTAAAGAAAATACTTTTCCTAAGCAGCTCCATAGATATCTTATAAATAAACATGGTCTCCCCTTTGAGAGCCCGTGGGAATTAGAGCAGCTAGGAGGGGAACAAGCTTGAATTAAATACATTGTGTTTGCTAAAATCAATGGATTATTCAAGGGAAAAAATATACAGCATGTTCTAATCACTTAGCAGCGTAGCCGGGGCTCACGTTAGCCAGGGGAAGCGGGTTAGGAACAGCACCGCGTGGCAGAAATATTATTATGATGAAGGGGTTGTATAAAACCCAGCGAAAGCAAACGGGTCTTGGAAATAGTTAGAGACAGGTTCTTGTTTGACTTGAGGGTTCTCTGAGGTTGCACATGGCAGAGCAGCATCTCAGTCCGACTGGGAAACTGGGGTGCTGTTACCCACACTGGGCGGCACCCACAGGGTAGATAACACCACGTTTTGGGAGGTCCATGTAAACTCCAGAGTGTTCTTCCTTTTAGTTACGTGAAACCTGCGTTTTCCAGCAGATCTTGTGCACTTGGTAGTTGCGTGCCCTTGTTGTGACGCTAAATGGGAGGGATGTCCTGGCTCCGTGGAGAGCGGGAACCGGGGAAGGTGGGAGTTGCGGGTCAGGAGAGGGATGCTTACCTGTGTTTTCAACTAGCAATTGCCCCTGAGATGGAAAACTCCAAATTCTGAAGCAGAGGACCCCCACCTGGGCTGCTGCTGCAGATACTGAGGTTTTATGCGACATTAGGGAAGTTGCGTTGCATTTCTGCTCCAGTTCTGTAATAGAGAATGAGATTCTCCGCCCAGCCTGCTCGTGTGCCCGCTCTGTCTGACAGTACCTACACAGAAAGAAATGGCTCTCTTTGGGACGTAAGTGATTTTTTAAGGCAGAAGCAGTAGCTGGAGCTCACGTGGCTTTCGGTTAAGGCACTTTCCCAGCCTGTTTGCTGAGAGCAGAGCGCTGAGGGCTCTGAAGACACAGACACACACACCCCCCACTTGCACAATTTCTTTTCTCTCGGTGGCCACTGTCTGCTGGGGGGGCTCTGCGAAGCCTTTACTCCCCCCCGAAGGCGGGTGACCCAATCGCTCCTGGGGGCTTTCCTTGCGGGGTGGAGGTGGCACGTGTCCCCTGAGCAGACTGCCTCAGCCTTTGGTGCGAGAGAAGCCCCGAGACTTGGGCGTGAGGGGGTGTAGGCACAGAAAAAGAAGCTGGAGCAAGCGAAACCCAAAAATGTGTAAACCTTGGAGCTGGAACACCATGGCTCTCAAAACTAGTTAGTTTTCTGTGGTTTTTATTTTTCGTTACTAGATTACTATGTACAATATTCCTCTGCAGTTGTACCCAGTAGTAACGGACATTGCCACACTGGTGAGGACTGGTCTCTCCCAAAGTGTGGAGATAATTGGACTTAGGACACTTCTGTCTTTCCGAGTCTTTCTCACCGGTCAATGTCAGTCATGACTTTTGCAGAGAAAACGGCCATCCTGCAGTGGATGGGGCTGGAGCAGGGGAGGAGGCGCGCAGAGGAACCTGAAGCCCTGCTCCTCCGCGCTGGTTTGATAAGTGGAACACCTATTTTTGCCGTAGAATGGAAGAGACTCGGGTTTTAAACGTTTATTTTTGCCCTGCCTGTGCCGGCGCCTCGGCTGTCTGCCTGCGCAGGGCCCGTCCCGCAGCGCGGCCCCGGGGGGACGCAGACCCCGCGCGGCGGTCAGCGCCGGCCCTGGCTGTGACGCACCCTCACATTTCTACTGAAAGGGGAATTTTCAACACGTTTCGCCCCCCACACACCCCGGCTGGGCGAGGGAGAGCTGGGGCAGCCACGGGGAAGT